GGCAGCAGGGACAACAGGGACAACAGGGGGAATATTGCTAAACGGAAAGTGGTTTGGCGCTCGTCATGGCCATCGTGGAAAGTCGCATCAGAGTTGGACGTCAACCACCATCGCCATCACCACCATCAGCAACACCGAACTAGCAGTATCTATCTATCTCTTGTAGGCCTGCCACTAGCATCGACGCCGTCACCATGGCCATTGTTGATAGACCGAGTATTCAAACTTTGCCCTCTGTTTCTCCTCGGACTCTGCTGAAGCCACCAACAGGTCCACCAGGCTATCGTGTTGGTGGCGCTCGTGGTGGTTGTCTGTCATGCCAGAGAGTGAGTCCAAATTCATGGTTTTCGAGTCACATTGATGCACCAGCATCTTGCTTTGGTGACGCGCCGTTTGTCATGTAATACGGGCTCCTCAGCTTAGGATCCAGCGCGGAGAGATGACTCACAGAACAAGTCTAGCATACCCCGATCGAAATGTGACATTCAGCTCAATCCAGCGCTGCGGTGCCCAACTTCTTAACGTGCACAAGTGCGTTCTCTTGGGAAGGCATGGACAAGGGCACAATGCTGGTCAATTGCAAGCCAGCAGTAACACTACTAGCTTCTTTTAAGAAGGCGAGAAATTCTCAACGATTAACAAAACAGTAACTTGGGGGCTCAGAACTGTCGGAGGCTGGATGGAATGTCAATCGCTGATGAATGACATTGCCAAAGCAAGAAGTACTGCGACATGGCGAAAATTGCCACTGGCAAGGGACATATCCGTGTCCAAGACCTCGTTTCGAATATACATGGCTTGAGAATATGCGTGACCCACCAGTCAAGTCTCAAGTAGCGCAGGTTCTAGAGTCTGAGGACGGTACCAAAGCAGCAATGCAGTTGACATGTGCTTGCGCAGGGTATTAAAAAAAGCCGCCGCTGAAATACATCCAAAGAAACATGTTCAACATAAAGGGTAGAGTGAAATTGGCGACACCTGGGCTCAACCCTCGGCCCGAAAGACCGGCCACTGTATGCAGCATGTCATGATTCCGCAGGCTTATCCAGCATTATTAAGGCTCCGACGAGGTCACGGGACCCATAATACCTGGTGACCTCGAGTGACTTGGGTGACAGACCAAATCCGGCCACACTAAAACCCCCTATAACGCGTTTTATAAAGCTACTGATAAGTCTTAACATTCCAGCAACCTCACAAGAAGCTGTATTAAAGGTCTTTAACGGCGAATTTTTAATAGATAACAGCACACGTGAGCAGGCAGCTGATAACACCTGCCAGCCTAATAACCCACCTAATGAGGCTCGTAGGCAGAGATTTTAACCTTTTTAACCTTTATATCGCGATGCCCTCAATCGCGTTGGGGCTGTGATGTAGCTCTTTGTAACTTGAAGGAATGTTAGTACTTTTACCATAGTGTAAATTACTAAGAAGTTCATGTACCCTTAAAATGTGGGCCTTTAATTGGCTATAATCCTTGTCCCGTGACCTCGTTGGAGCCTTAACTGCTCTGAGGGGATACGTCTAGTATCTCGGCGATTGCCTGTTTGGTAAGCTCTCAGGCATTGCCCAATAAAAGCACATGCGAAGAGACGGTAGAGTCATGACAAGCACGCAACTACTCCATTGCGTCAGAGTCACGTGGTATCCAGTCACCGCAACACTGAATGCTTGACGAGTCTTTTGCGAGTCCGTTTCAAGCAAAAGAGCTGCCTGGTTCTTGGGGTCCGGGCCATGCAAAAAGCAGCGACGACGCTAGAGCTTGCTGGGAGGGGCCGGCAGCCACACCATGTGGACATTTTTGACCATGGACAAAGGCTTCCCAACCCTCATCGACTCGTCACACTGCATGGAGCTCCGCTTCCCTGCCAGCGCGTGGCCTGTGCAATCTATTCGTCGGATTCTGGGTGACTGATCACTCGTGGTTGACAATGGACTCGGACATGTGCCTTGTGGCCCGACTAGTCCGCCGCAAAAGCCAGAATCTTGGTCTGCTAATGGCCATGGGCCGTAGAGGAAAACTTGGAAAGCCTCACCATTGTTGGTTGACGAGGCCGGGCCCTTTCGTTTGCCCACGCCAACCAACTCGTCTGCGCTTCAACACGAAGAGGGATCCCGTAAGCATAGCTTGCACTGCATGCAAAGATGGAGGCCCCGTTGGCTGGCCGCATGGGAAGAGGGCACCCAGCGTACTCCGTACATACAGAACAAGCAATATTTGGTGAACCCGAGGTGGGCATGGACGCAGTGTCCGCGACCACACGGACCTGCATCGCGGAGCTTGCCAACGAGGCAGAACTGCAGGGGACGCAGCTAGATGGGAGATGGACAATATACTACGGAGTAGTCTCTTTTGCCTTTGAGGCAAATCGTCTCCGGCAGACTCGGCCAAATGTCTCAACTGGCGGAGGGGGCGCAGAAAAACCAACAGGCCAGGGGTTTCAGGAATGAGGGGAAAAGATGGCGGGACCGGATAGCGAACCTTCCCGTGTCTCGAGAACGAATCGATGCACGGAGCTGCGTCAACGGCGAGGCTTTCGACAGCGGGCTCGCCGCCCAGAAGGCCAAAGTCGCTGGCCACGATTGGACCCTTTCGGCATTCCAGTTGACACCGGACGAGGGGGGGCCTCCCCCAGCTTCGGTCAGCTCCATCTAGTATCATGCATCGCAAACATGCAGTGGGTGGCAGAGCGGCGCTGGGTAGAGTGAAGCTGGGCACATGTTGCGCCTGACGCGGGGGAAGACAGACCAGACACGATCAAGATATGAAGACGAGCGGGTGATCAGCCATTGTAGCGTCATGAAAAGACGTGGCTCGCTACGAGGCGATTTGTTGGGCCATCATCTCGTCCACGTTGATCAGCCACTCATGGCCCATGGGCTCTGTCGTAATGACGGGCTGCTCCCTCCAACCTCCAACTCGGCGAGCCTCATCGGTTTGATCGGCCGTCGATTGTTGGCCTTTGGCATCGGCACGGACAAGCCATCCGTGCAAAGAGACACGCTGTACAACCACGCACAACACATCAGTTCTCACGGCATTGGGAAACGGCTGCCAATGCCTTTGGGGTCTGCTGTCATGCCAAGGGCTGCTGCACTCGTAGCTGCGCGATTGGGCCTTTGGGCAAGGCTAACGGCAACAACTCGATGCAGGCAGGCAGCCTCCATGTTACACTTTGGAGAATGAGACATGTCGATGCGGGTAATGCCACCATATGCCCTCGAGCAGCACAAGTGTTTCCAAATACAGCACAATCTGTCATCAGTGCCGAATGATGGGACCGCGTCGAACACTCCAATTGCTCGCCGCATGCGCCAAAGAGTCTGGATACCATTGGTAACACTAGCCAGGCTGGGAACGCAAAGCCTTTGCCAGATAGTAACAATCCTCTCTTTGGCAGATGTGGGAGGTCTGAAATGTTCGGCGTGAACAAACCGGAGCCATGGGTAGAAAGTTCAAACAACTCTATGCCGCGACTCTTCAGTGTTGCAAACTCGCACAAATGGAACACGATGCGCCCAAGGCATCAATGCTGCTCGACAACTCTTACTGTAGGCCCACGCTGTTATCTACCAGGAGCGTCCGATTTCGCTGGCAACGTGAGCGCAGAGGTTGTTCAAACCTGCAATGACAAACGCCACTCTCAGTCTTCATAAGCTCAAGAGGGAGGGTCTTCTGTATGTCTCAAAGACATTGTCCATGCCGCCGACACAACTGCTCTGCAAGCAGAAGTGTTCCCAACCAACATCCCCCGTCATAAGTGATCATGAAAAGACATGTCACGCATGAGGGCATTCCCGGTGAACGCCAGGCCGAGCCATTCAGAAGTACTCGAACGCACTCTAATACACATTGTCAAGGTCAGGCTCGCTACACCACATCTATCTGCAGCAGACATCGTGTCCCTAGCCCAAGCATCAACACTTTTACGAGGAATTTGGAGCCTTGTTCAATGCAATTCGGTCCGATCAACACCTTCAGGGCGGTATCGCCGTGCCGCCTATTGCATGAGCGCCTGCTCGAGTCGTTCCAGAATCAAAGATGCATTTGATTGTCGACGGGCGCTTTTGCTTCAAAAGTCGTCAGGAACTATTCGAGAGAGTGTGCTTGTCCATTTCGGCCTGATCTCCTTCCAAAGGAGAAAGAAACAAGTGTGGGAGGGGAGGCAGGGCAGCGTTGATGCCAGAGTTGGCGACCCTACCGCCGCGTAGAGAAAAAAGACACTATGCTCCCTGACCTCGAACTCGATGGGCCGCCTCGCCCAACTTTAGGCGCTGTTATCCGAAGAACGGGCATAGGGCCGTTGTACATAACAAGGGCAAATGGGGGCCATACGTAGGAAGCAACAGCGGGGGACTTATGCAAAACGGCGGCTGTTGCTACGTGGCCGGCGTGGAAGAGGTACACGGCGAACCGAGGGCCAAAGTAAGCTACAGTTCTATTTGGCGACGGGGAGTTTGGGACGGTACGGTGCGAACATCTTGTGATGCTCGTATGTGGATTCAACGATTTGGTGATGTTGTGGCTTTTCGTTGAAGCGTGTATATGCTCGACAGATTTCATCGAATTCGATTTCTCTGTAACCAGGATTTGCATCTTGGAAAGATGCCCCTGCCACATGGTACTAGTTCCACAGTCTTTCGCAAAGTCCTGAGTGTGTATAATCTACTTGGAAGGCCCTTGGGCTCTACAAGTGGCGTGACGGATGTGAGAGCCGCGCTCCTCAGAGCCAAGATGCACGCAAAGACTCTGACAGAATTTTTCAAGACAAGCAACTGTTTTCCATTTGTTGAACCCCAAAGTTGGCGTCTTTTTTAGGTTGAGCACATACAACGACCATCATGAGCGACATCTCGGCGCTGGCTTAGTTGAAGTTTGACAATTCCGAGACGAGAAGCTCCAGAGAGCGCGTCACAAGTCCAAATACACATGTCTGAGCGCGTGGCCACGGCTATCAAATAATGGAACACGCCATGTACTTCAGCCCGATTATACATCTTCAACTCTCCTCTGCGCACAGCGGCAGATTCACATCCACGACAATAGGTTTATGGAATTGCTTCCCACCCACATGCGGGTAACTGCTCTTCATAATGGCCGCGTTCACCACGCACGTTTCCCCCTCCTCCAACAAAGGCGCCTTCCTCCCCGTAAGATCCACCAAGCTCACTTTATTATTTCCAGCCCCAGGATCCTCCCAGGCCCTGACGCTTGCTGCGGAGAATCTGTCCTCCTGGTCCCAGAGAACCCGTTCCGCGCCCCGTCCACTATGGATATGGCCGCAGACAGCGAGCCGCGGTCTCACCCTCCAGAGTGCTCTTCTTAGAGCCTCACACCCCGTCGTTTGCATGCTACTTGTTTCATCACGGCATCCCTTGGGCGGAGTGTGCGTTACCACAATGTCAGTACTCGGCGGGATATCATCCCACAGACTCGTCAGGGCCAAGTCGCCGCCGGGAGAGGCGGGGGCGTCGTAGGAAAAGGCCCAGAGGCCGTATCGGGGCGAATATGGCGACCCAAAGACTGTGAATTGGGTGCCTGGTCCCTCGGGGGAGCGTAGACGAATCGTCGCCGATTCGTGATGGAGGTATGTGATGGATGGTGAGGATGTGAGCAGCTGGAGACATTGTGAGTGAGACTGAGGGTTCTGGTTGTGAAACGCTGAACCGTGATGTGTGTAAAAGTCCTTGTCTAGTGTTATGTCGTGGTTTCCTGTGTCCATTTAGGATTTTTGACCCTCTTTCAAGTGTGGCAGGGGGGAGGGCTGCGAACCGGCAACGACGATTTTGGCCTCGAAATCTGCTCCTTGTAGCCATTTTACCGTCCTTGAGAGCTACAGCTGTCATGTCAGCAACTTTGAACTTTGGAGCGAAGTGCTACAGGGTAGGAATACCTCGGAATAGCTGCCTTGGTTCGTCATGTCCCCTGCGTGGATGAGAACATGGCCCTTTGGAAGCTTGACGGTGCAATTGTGTGTATCTGAGACGCAGACGATTCTCGTCCGGCGCACCTCTGATTCTGCCATTGCATCGCCATTGGGGGGTTTTGTGTCTTGGCGGGTGTACCGGATAAGCGCTGAAAACTACCGCGTGGTTTTGAGAAGCGATACAGACTCGCGTTGTGAACGGGATGCAGGTGTGACCGTTGACGTATATGTGTTTTTGCGTGGAATAAAGTACCAGACCTTTTATCCTACGGCTTTTAATTGGCGTATTATCCCCGGGATCAACTTTAAGGCCCTTATCCTATAAACCGCGGCTAATTATTAGCCGGTTAAAGAAGATATATTACATTAATAGGGGTTTTCCCTTATATTACTTTACTAGGTCTAGCTAATTAATAGTATAATAATATATTTAATACGTTATTATAAATTACTTTTAGCTTTTAAAATTAGGATTACTAGATTAGGGCCTAAGAGATACCCGTTAGTAGAGTATTAATAAGAAAACTATATTTTCATTTTTTAAAAAAGCTTAAATAATTAATAATAAATCTAATAAAATACTTAA